ATACTAATCATGATTTTTCTTCATATATTTGCGCGGAAAAAGATTGCAATAGGTCCTTTCGTTTAATAAATTTTTACAAGAAACATTTGACTACTCACACGTTAACCAAACATAAATTGATTGAGAATATTCAACATTTAAAACATTCAACTTGTTACTATTAGTAATTCTGTAGATAATATAAGTACAATTTCAGAGACAATTCCATCCAGATCTCCCATGCCAGAATCTAGTCCTAATAATTGTTTTTGTGAAAATACTATAGAAAAATGTGTGGCTTCATTATACGCAAACCCTCAAATTCCTCGTAATGTAGTTCAAACTGTAGTTGAAGATATGTTAAATATATTTGATAATGTACATAAAACTTTAAAAACTAAAACTGACAAATTACTTGTAGATGGTCACATTTCTAAAGAATCTTTTGATCATTACATTAATATTTTAGATGAATTTGGACATCCTTTTTCTAATCTTGGTACAGAATACAAACGAATTAAATATTTCACCGAACTTGGCTCATACATTGCACCACGTTAATATGTCATAGGAGAAAGTATGAATGATGTTAAAAAAAAATAATTCTTATTATTTAGTATCTGTCATTTGTACAGAACAAATGATTCCTCTAAGATACGTTTTAAAGAATTTTTTTTTAAATTGAAAATGTATTAACTGATACATTAGAATATATGAATACATGTAAACTTAACGATATAATATTTATAAATTTTGTACAAGGTAGTGTGTGGAAAAAATAAAATTAAAAATCATGAATCTCAAATCGTGTTTCCCTTATTTTTATTTTTTGATGATTTTAAAATTGAGAACCCTTTAGGCAGCCATTTTGGCATACATTAACTTGGAGCTGTATATATATATATATATATATATATATCAATTATATATGTATCAATTCCTTTCATACCTCCTCATCAACAGTCCTCTTTAAGTACAATTTTTTTGGCATTGCTGTTTTTTTGGCATTATTACTGTTTCATACATCAGATAGACAAAAGTTTAGAAATAATATTATTTTTCAACCAATTATTGATGAGTTAAATTTTTAAAAAATGTTGACATTTACATGTATAGGCCGGTAAAAATATTCGCTGCCCCCGACTTGAAACTCTGCGCACGCTTATGCTCAAACTGTTTGAGACACAAAAGAGAATGTGTTTAATTTATTTTTTATATAATATTTAAGTTACCTATTGACTTCTTTAGGTTATCATATGTACAAAGATGTTTTTGAAAACCCTATTTGTGTTCCAAGTAAAACGTATTGTAGATTAAATGCTCAAAAACATTTAAACACATCTTAGGTACTGTTTCATGTCACCCGAAACTCAAAGTGACTTGGAACATTTATTTTTATTTATTTTTTAACCAAGTTATAGTTAAAATTCATTTTTTTTTTATGCAAATGTAGTAATTTATATTGCGCGCCTATACTAGATTTGTTTCAGTTTTAAAAAATTAATATTGAAGATGTAAGAGCCTGGGAAAGTTCAAAATCGTGTTCATTTCACCCTTGTTGACGGTATTTAATATTTATATAGGATAATAATTAAACTTAGAGACTTCTAGTATTTGCATACTTTTTTTAATTATTGTTAAATATAGCAGAGTGCGAAATAAATTCATTTCTCAATGCCATGATATCAGATCTAAAATTTGAATGCGCATATTTTTGCATATTGATAGATTTTGCATGAGAGTGCTTATTTTAATATTATTATGCTTATTTTGCATATTTTGACAAATTTTTCCAAGTTTATTATTTAAAATTAAAAACTATAGATACATATAACTATATATACATCGATCAAAAAAATAATATACTAAGAGGACTTCCAGTAATATGCTACCTCTCATATCTCTTTATAATTTTTGTGTAAGTATAAATAATACTATAATCCCGTATTGACCGTATAACCCGCTGGATATTGACCGAATGTCGATAAAGATAATAGTCGATATAGAATAATAAATTATTTCTTTAGTGTTCAGTTCAGTCGATTATTATTTGTCGTTGTTTTTGCGTCTTGCAACCACACCAGTGGCGTATACAAGGGGGATGTTTGGTGGATATGACACCCCCCTTGAGCCGTATCATATATTACATTATTATAGGAACATAGGTAAATCGTAAATATAATATGAAATATAAAATAATGCACAATACTAATTACATTCAGAGTGATTTTTTTATCGTGAACCAGTTAATATCTAGGGAAGTATTAGGAATTTAAAAATATTTTTTTTTTTAACTTTCTAGGTTTTACTATTCTACACTGTGTTACAATTTTGATAATTTTAACTTCCTCCCTTATTTGATAAAACACATACAGGTTAACATTATCGCGATTGTTGCAGTAATGCGGTATTGTGAATACGCTTTCGACGACGGGGACTATGTGATAATCACGCGTCCGTGGCGACCACATAATAGGTTGCGTAACGTAAAGTGGTATAATGCGTCCGTTACCGCCACAAGCACATAGATAATAAAGCATGACTTTTCATTTATAACTGAGATATGGTTGTATAACTCATCACGGTCTTCAGTTTCGAGTCTGGACTGTGCAGATATATGTAAATCATGACGTCAAATTTTATTTATTTGTTTATTTTAAACTTTAACAGTGTATATTTGAATATTCGACCATTCGAATATCAGTATTCGATGCTAAAATATAATATGTGACGAAAATTATTCGTTTAAGTTTTCGTGCAGCACAAAACGTTTAATAATAATAGGTATTATAGAATTAAATACTGATATTCGAACAGTCAAATATTTGAATTATTAACGGTGAAGCTATTCAAATTCGAATATTCGAATATACATTACATCTCTATTATAGACATTATGTATACATATTAATTAATTAAAATAAAAGTTTTAGTTTGTACATATTATATATAATATTTAATATTTATAATTAACACCCTCCTTCAGAAAATTCTAGCTAGGCCCTGAACCACACAACGTCGAATCATACATAAAACGTCGTACGCGATAATTTGTAACATCGTGTTATGCCGAAATTACAACAGTTTACTAGTAGCCGACTACAAAGTTTTGTTTCGGAATTTAAAAATATATTTAAATCCGATGAACACGTTTTATTTTGTGTACTATTTGGTCATTTTTTTTTTTTTTTTTTTTTTCAATGCATATAAATGGATATTATAATGCATATTTTAATGATTTTAGAAGTATATTTGCATGCATATTTGTGTATTTTTTAGAACTATAAGTCCCTAAGCTTAATAATGATCATAAGGTAAGATTGATAACAATTTGCTTCATCATTGAAAATGATAATACAAGTTTCAACAATGTTTAAGTGTGAAATATCCATTGAACTATATGATAACTGGAATGCTTACTAGCCATATGAACAATATAAATAAAACCGAGCGACCGTGATAAACAAAGATAACAAATATATTAGGTAATGTTTTCTCTCTCTTTGTATATTATTCTATTCAATAATTGAATGTAAATCAAAAATCTTAATTTTTTTTAATTAATTTAATCGGTTTTAATTTAATATTGTATTTTATAATTTGTTTAATACCTAATCAATTTATATATACGAACCTTAGGTTTCATATAATAAAATGGTTAACTATTGTAGTGCCTATATTGCACAAATTCAAGCGATATTAATAAAGGATTAATTTTCCATAAGTTCGTACTTAAATTATTTTAGAATATAATACCTATTTATTATTTGCTATTAAGTTTTTTCATTTTACTTAAAACTTCAATTCTTAGTTTTTTTAATTAAAATACCTGATTATATATTAATACTAATACATTATTATATATTATACAAAGTAAATTATTTTAAAATTACCATTTTGTATTAATTTAAATATTAAAATAAATGTACGTGTGCACCTATGCAGACTGCTTTTATATTGAATAATAATCCAATGTCTACCAACAGCAAACATAATTTTATCCTGTTAAATCTAAAAACCTTTATAAAAAATATATATTTATAGTGATGTTTAATATATTTAATATGAGGGAAACATCTATTCTCTCCAATATAAATGCCACTAACGAATGTCTGTAATTATTAATAATTTTTAGTTTTTTGGTTCAGAAAATTATTTCTATCACTGACACTACATACATTCATTAGTACTTGATATGTGGTAGTTTAAGCCTTCAAGCTTAAAAATAATTATTTGATAACCAGTTTTGTTTTCAAACACATATTGCAACAGATTCACGGTTTTAAATACCTTAAAAATTTTGTTAAATCATTTTTAATTGAAAGCAAAACGATTTTTAAATATATTTTCCTATATAGCAGTACATGTTAAACAAAGAAGGAAACACCTGATTGATATGCTATCTTTTTTTAACACAATCGCTCGGGCAACACTGTCTAGTGAGCGTTCCAGTTATCATATAGTTCAATGGAAATATCATGGAAATAAATATAAACTTTTCTAAAGGGCGCCAATAATTGTACACTTTACCCTATCATTCGAAATAATCTTTCGGGTATATTATCGAATTATTATTTTGATAATCGAAATATCACTCGAAATAATCTCTCTGTTATAAAATAGAATTATTATTTTGATAATCGAGATATCTCAATTACGCTCATCACTAGTTGTCCCCTCGGACTATAGTCACTATAGTGAAGGGCGATTTGAATCGATATTTTTCATGCGATGAATCGATTTTTGGAATCAATCTCTATGGTCCTATCTTTTAAAAGATCGAATCGAACCATTAATTCGATCTCTTATGTGAATAGAATCGTTGATCCGATATTTTATGCGCATTGATTCATTGTTATTTATTGATTCGATTATGAAATACAAATTAAAAAATATTACACATAATACTCGTATATTTTCATCAAATTTTCACCTAGAGCGCAGGCAAAACTGAAAATAATGCCATCAACTGATTAAAGAAAACCGCATATAAAGTGAACCGATCTTTTCATTACGATTTAAATCAATTAACACATCGATTTTTTTCCATGAATCGCCCATCGTTATCACCAACCACGTGCAGACGACGCGTTCCCCAGTCAATTTTCATTCTCCTGCCCTCGCCCCACTATACGACGACAGGGCTAACGCAAACGAGCCTCGTGCAGTGCGTGCGCCATACCAACATGTGTGTCGTCCTATTTGCGCCATTGTCGCCGAGTATTCCTCTTCGCCGGTCGCACGGGCCCACGTCATTCACGACAATAACAGAATAGTGTCGCAGACGTCCGTTTAACCATCGACCCGCCTTGGTCCGTTTGCGGCAGCGCAGTGATACCGAGTGCTGTTGGAAGACTTTCGCCCGAACACGGTTAGCGACTGCACTGGAAAGCGGTTCTGAACGGTGAGCACGTCGATTGACGTTAACATTACTATTACTTTTTTTATCATTACTGCGTTACTGCAACGTGGTTCGCAGCAGTCGTACTAGTATTAGAAACACGATCGAACCGTTGCGTTATTATTTTTTTCACTAAGCGTTACAAAAACAAAAACTTATAATCAAGTTTCAGACATTTTAATTCGTTACATTATAAAACATTCAACAATGTGTATTCAGAATTGTGAGTTATATTTGTATATGAATTGATGACCCAATGTGAATTAAATTGAAATTATCAATATTTGTAATGCTATGGTACAATGTAATCTGTTCGACGTATGCACGATATGGTGACATACTTTTATTTAAATTTATCAATGAAAATAATATGAAATTGCTGTTATAGTAGTGACCATTCTTGTGGCAGCCCCCATTTCCTTCTTGTGATGCATAGGTGAACGGGGTGCAATAACGATAGGTACTGTAAGCTAAAGGCAAGTGGTTGTCAAAAGAACAATGACAAGTTTTACCAATTTACATTAGTTTTTACTTGTATAGCATGATTAACGAGTTTCACATAATCATATAATACTCAATCTTCTTATATTTTTAATTTTTCTGCAACTCTAAAAGGTATTGATTCATAAAAGGTTGGGAAACGTAATCAAAAATTACAATTTAAAGAATTTCTTGCATCCTAAATTCATTGATAAAATGTTTTAAAGTAGTTTACAGTTTAGAATAAAATTACTTTTTACATTTTAGAATTTAAATTATTTTAATTTAATTTATTTAACTTATGTAATAATATCTTGATATAATTGCATATATTCACTATAAATAAATTAAGCTTGTGCACCATCCAATGTGCGTATACTGTTACAGAAAATATTTTTCTTAATCTAGTTTACACACCTAATGTTGTATCTGACATGACATTGGCTACATCATATGACTAAGCTACTATAGGTAAATCAAATAATTGTGCATTCTTTATAGTTAGTAAAATATTATTCAAAATATGCTCAGCCCTTTTACCATTTAAAAAATTATTAAAGCAAAGAAAACATTCTTGTACATTCAAACTGTTGACATATCTAACTCAAATAGATAATTGTTCTTACTTGTAACACGTATTAGTAATACTTTATATTACATAAAAAATAAAATAATTTTTAGTTGAAAAATATATTATTTAAATTATAGAATTTGATATTGGTGAAATAAACAATTATTAAAAAGTAGTTTTTAACCCAAAAACAACATGAAATATAGATTAAAAACAATAAAATTATAACTTGGCTTTATGGCGTATTATTGTATACATTCCAGATTCTTTTACTTTTGTTTAAATATAATCAGTAATGCAGTTAGTATTTAATTTATACAGTTTTGTTAGAGTAGTTAATTTTAGTGTTATAAAATGTCTTAAACTCAGAATCTTGGTCTGAAAAGACTTTACAAATCTCTTTGAATTTTGCTATTAAAAACAAGCTAATTAATAAAATACAATACTAGAAAAACAAATTAGTATTAAAATAAAAAGTAAGGAATAATTTGAACCCTTTTAATTTCATGTTGTTTTTTTTACTTATTTAATAACTATAAAATTACAATAAATAACAACAAACCTTAATTAGAGTTTGCAGATTTTTCATCATACCCACAAAAAACAAGTCCTTAATGGGAGAAAAATGATATAATACTAATTATTTTCTTCATATAGTTCCGATTATTAAAAATGTCTTGCTTATAAGCAGTAGATATTTGAGTTGCTGTACACCCAGTAATTGTTGAAGCTTTATTTTCTTAATAATGCTTTATGCTAGTAAGATGAACAACTGATTTGTTTTGTTTTTCTTACTTAATAGTCAATCTGACAATAGATATTTTTATTAATTTTTATAAATCAATACAATACCTGTCATAAATTGTTTATATGAGAGAGCTTTTTCTAAGCTAAATATTTTAAAGTCTAAACTTTGGGCTAGTTTAAATCAAGGAACGTCTTGGCTGCTTACATTTTATGAGTCTCGAACAAGAAGTATGTATGAAACTTTAGTTCCAGAGAATCGCTAATTAATCTTATGACTGTTTTTGTATGATTCATATTTTTATTTGTTATTTTAAAAATTCCTGGGCATGCCATTGATAATTACAAATACTTTTTGTAATTTTAATAATATCATATTTGAGTATATTTGTGTTTCTTACCTTCATATATTTATTTTGTATGAGTATAAACCAGAAATTTTAAGAAGTATGTTTATAAAAATTATTAATTTTAATATAATTTTTTTTTAAACTTTTCGTAGTTTTTAACAAATCATTTTATTAATAGTAACTTTATTTATGGTACAATTGTTTCTTTGAAAAATATTTTATATATTAATAACATTTTATAATTTCAAGAAAGGCCCATTAATTTTATTCATACACGTACCATACCATATAATTGTAGTCGCGACACTGGGTTAGTGTTTTATTTTTATTAGGGTAACCTTAATTTTTTTTAGTCTTATTAATTTTATGAAATTTTTTGTTATAGTTTTGGAGTTTTAATAAATTTTTATTTATCCACACATATACATGCTACTAATATTAAGTATCTATAAATTAACCATGTTTTTTGATACATTTTATTTCATTAATTTAGATCATTAATATTTAGAATTGACATCACAAATATTTTTGCAGAACAATTGACACCTCAGGATGGAATGCTACGTACGGGTTTGTCTGAATATTTGAATACTAATATTTGTGTTAAATTATGTTTTAGTTTAATAATATTTTGTTACAGAAACACTTAAGAGGAAATGATTATTCCATGATTGAGATAGACGATATGTACTGTAGCAATGGCGATTTAAAACTCACAAACAGAGAAGAGAATTTAATTAGGGGTACAGATATGTTGGCTGCACATCTTATGGAAAAAGCTATTCGGGAAAAAAGCAAATGTGAACGTCAAAAACTTTTTGAGGATATTGAATTTCTGTATTTGAATGCAAATAAAATTGTTATGAATCACATGGTAAATCAATAATGATAATATTTAAATGTTTTAAAAATATATCATTTTAATTTAAAATATTTACAGAATCATTTATTAGGCAGGGCCTTCGTTTGCTTATTAGATAATGAAACGATGAGTGCAGCTGATTTAAAATTATCTAAAATGTTATCGGATGGTTTAGATTGTATACCGTTTACATTTGGAAAATCAATTGATGAAATTGATGTAAGCCGATGTAAAAATAATCTTATCAAACAATGGAAGTTATTGCGTGAAAACAAAGAAAAATCTGAATATATTCGAACAGATATGTCGTATAATTTCTTGCAATTAGGAGAGATTGAAAAAGCAAGATTGGGATTTGAATTAGCTTTAAAGTTAAACTCAAATTGTGTGCTTGCATTAGTAGGTCTTTCGATCACACTGTTAATTAAATCCAGTAAATCCCCACATACTATTAATCTATTTGTAAAATTTTCAAATCAATTGACCATTAAAACCATAAAAATAGAAACTTTATTCAAAATAGCTTTTGATTATTTCAAGCAAGGGAGAAGTAATAAAGCCATACGATATTACAACATTATATTGCAAAGATCAAGGAATTTATTCCGAATAACTAAATGTCTTGATTTTTTGGGTCAAGCTTATGAATTAAAGGTATTATTTGTTATTTTTAAAAACCCTTCACAAAACAAAATTTTAATTTATGACATATTTTAGGGTGACTATAATCGGTCGTTTGAATATTATTATCGAGCAGTTATTATGAATCCTAATGACATTGGATATTCATATTATGGTCTCGCAAAAATGTATATCATTATTTGTTCCTTTCAGAAGGTAATATCATTAAGAAACATATTTTAATTTTAAATAGGTACAGATATGATCAAAATATTTGTGAATTTTAGGCTGAAAAGTGCTTGGAAACATATTTACGTGTGAACCCAAAATGCAATAAATCTAAGGTAAAGCTTAGTTTATTGTATGTGCATTCAAATGTTGAAGATAAAATATACAAAGCTCAGACTTATCTAAAAGAAGTAATTCTTTTAATTTTTTTCTCTAATGTATATACTTTTTAACTAATTTGTTTTCTATATCTTAGGTAGTAAATGAAGTTCCAAACTGTCTGGACGCCTGGGTTGGCTTAGGTTTGATAGCCATAATCAATAAAAAAGAGTTAAATAATATTTATCATAATGTTGTGGTTTTGACACATGGTTACCAATTAACACGCTTCTCAGTTGACTTGATTATTGATATGGCTCTTATATATTTTAAGTAAGATAAATGTAGAAAAAAAATCATTGTATAAATTATAAATATTTATTTTAATTAAAGGTTTGGAGAATATGACTACAGTTGCTCAGTACTTGAATTAGCCGTCAAATTCTTAAAACAATTATCTGGAGTTACTCCTTGTTTATATTATATACATTTGACAAATGTAGCTTGTGGTCGGTTGGTCAATGTTTATTTAGAACTTAAAGAATTTCAAAAGGCAGATAAATTGTTGAAAGAAATGATGCAGAAAAATCCTAAAGATGTTGAACGTATCTATTTAAAATATTTTATCACCTTTTAAAATTCTCTGAACTTGTATAAATGTTATGCTTTATTTTATAGCAATCATAGTATTGGCAAAATTGTTTCAAGTCCGTCACCAAGATAATGAGGCTCGCGAGTATGCTAAAAAAGCATTGCAATTTAATCCAAGATGTCCTGAGGCCCTGAAAATACTTAGAAAATTGAATTTAGAAGATGAAATGGACTTATCTGAGTTTAATGTATGTTTAAAACGTTTTATATATTATTCCAACAACAATATTATTTTTAACTATATGTTTTAAGGAATCTTCATTAAAAAACCTTAAAGATATATTTATTAATTTGAAAGACATGGCAATAGGATCTACAAAAAATATAACTGTATTTAACAAAGATACAGAATTTGATAATTTGGCATTAGAATTTTTTGGAAAATTATTGAATTCTGATCCGGTACGGATCTGGGGCCCTGATATGTTGGGTAAGTAAATATACCTAAAATTCATCTAAAATACTTTCTTCTATTAAAATTAATTAACTCTATGTAAAACGACTTATTTTTCTCAATGAATTCCTTCCTTTATTTTTTCATATACAGTTGCAATTTTATTTTTTCTTATTTAGTCACAACTGAACTTAACTCTGTAGGACTAACTTACCCCCTAGGATGAATTTTTAATTCGAAACCCGTCATACTTCACAAATATAATAATAATTACTTCAGACTAAGCTTTTATTTATTTGTTTATTTACTTAATTATATACATGAAATATTTGATTACATATTAAAAATAATATCTTATGCCATAAGAAATACATTATAGTACGTGATAATTTTTGAATCGTAGACTTGAAATTCTATAATTTTTATTTTTAAATTGTAGATATAATATTAAATAAAAATTAGGGGTTGACTAATATTAATTAACTTGTTTTAAAGTATATTCTAGTGTTAAAAAAAATTCAAAACTATTTCTAAGTTCAATTTGCAGTATTTCTCCTAAAAAATTTAAAAATTAAATAATTTCCCTTCTCAAAATCTTGATGGTAATATTATATTAGATTTTTGGTGGTATTTTGTTTTACTACTTGAAGTTTTACAGTATTTCACTTCACTAAGAATTTGTGATTTATATTCTTATATTCTAATACTGTCTTTATTTTTTAGGTCAACATCTAGCAAACGGTGACATTTTAAGTAAATTGAAAAATACATTTTCTATCGCCGAAAAATCTAATATACTATGCAGTACTTGGATATATTATGCGAAAGATTGCGAAAAAAAAAAACTCTACAATCGGAGTATTAAAATAGTATGTTAATTTTCATAATAATTTAATATACTGTGTTAAATATTTATATAATATGATTTTAGATGAAAGTATGTTTGAAATTATTTTTCTTACATGATACTTTTAAAATTTACCCATTAATCGGATATCAATATATCTTAGCATACAATTTTCAAGATGCCTATAAAATGTTTTTAAAAGTAAGCAAGATAATTAATTGGTGATTATATCTATTAAGAAATATGATTTAATTATATATGAAATTGTATTTTAGGCTTTTATGGCTATTCCTGGTGATTTTAGTATAATTAATTGTATGGCTTTTACAATACAACAAATAGGCAACTTGATTTTAGAAAAAAAAAAATGCACTATGAGAGATGTCCATAAAGCTATGGAAAATATTAAATTAGCAGAGAAGTATGAACAAGTATCTGTTTTTTTTTTTTTAATGCATACATTATTAAAAGGACAAATTTCTTTTGTATTCAGATATTTTACTTTTCTTGTAAGACAAAATGATGTTATGATTCATGGTGTTGCCAACGAAGGACTAGTACTTTGTCAATTAAAGATTAATTTACTACCCATTTATAAACGCCGAGTACGTCTAATGGAAATTAAATTGATGGAATCTAATTCTTAAAGAAGATTGAAAAATTGAGAAACCATTCAAATTCAACAATTTAATATTAAGTTGAAATATTGCAGCTCTTTGAGGACTACACAAAACTCATTTTGTCGAGACACCAAAATGAAAAAAAAAAATTAAAGTCTTCATAATTTGTTCTATTCTAATTATATATAATTGAATGTACTATTTTAAATAATAATAATGTATATAATATAGAAAATAGATATTAATGTATTTATTTATTTATTTACATATATTTTTGTAAATAAAATATTTTAAGAGTATGACAATTTACAATCGGTAGAATAATTAAACAGTTAAAAAAAAAACAGTTAAACAGTTTAGTAAATTTAAAAAAATGTTTAGATAAATATAAAGACATATCTTAATTTAATAATTCAATATCTATTGCGCTTGTGTTTAATTCTGCGTGACAGACTGTTTGAGAAATAATGATAGATGTAAGAACAGGACATAGCCCAGGGCATATTTTTAGGAATAAAAAAAATAATGATATATACTTATACACATTTAGAAAACTGTAGAGATATTTTAAATTTAAAAAAACAGAAAAATAATTAAATAAGTGCAATGTCTAAAAGATGATTTAGATAACGTTCTTAAAATTTATTAGAAATTATTTTAACTCTGGAACTAAAATATCTTGCTCAATCTTGATGGAATTTTTAGAATCCCCTGATAGCTATTTTAATACCTTACTTATTTTATTACCGAAGCGCTTTAAAGTTAAGTTTCCACGTTTGAATTTTCGACAAAAACGTTTTATCCACTCGAGAAAAAAAGCATGGGATGCCGACCAATCTTACTAATTCATGTTATTGGAATAATGTTATAAACTAAAAATACATTTAGTAAATAACATTGCATTGTCAAATTGATTAAAGTATAATTTTTTTTTACATAACCTAGGATCATGGTCAACTGTGTTATAAAAGCGATTCTGAGCATGGCTTGAATCAACAAAACAAATTATTTTTTTCATTATTAATTATTTTAACGTTATTCAAGTTTTGTGTTCACCATTATTGGGAATTAAAACATTATTTAAGATTTAAGTTCAACGTAATTAGAAATTTAAACGTTCGTTTCGTAACAAAATGTTACCCTTTATTTTTTGTATTCCATTTAAATTATTATTGAATTTCATTGTTTAGAGTTAATGGCATCGAAAAAATATTAAAATAATCGGGCAAGCATTCCAAAGTAGACAATACTATCCATCACGAACCCAAAAAAATTTTTTTTTACAAATTAATGGGGGCTCTGCCCCCTATACCTCCTTTAATATTCCTCTATTTACAATAACACACATTTTTTTTATATTTATTTATGAATTATTTAATTATATTATAAAAATGAATGATAGAATTTCACAAATTATGATTAGTATTAATTATAATATAATAAAATAGATAACTTATAAATTCCACGGAAGCAGTGCGAAAGCAGTTCTTCCCGTGGCGTCTTCAATTCAAAAAGGAAAAAATAAGAACTTATAAATCAACTTTAACTTTTAAATAAATACTCTTATTTATTTTAATGGGGGTTCGATAAATTGTGTCCCATAAATAAAATGTAAATATACAGCTAGGTGAATTGCGGCCCAGGTATCTAATCGTTCTAAGCAATAAAACAGCATTAAAATAGATTCAACACATTCATTCTTATCGAAATAACTTATCGGAGTATCCAAGTATTAAATAATTATTTGCGACGTCTTGTTTGTGCGAGTACCGAGTGAAAGACCCGCAAAGCATTGGCAAAACATTGAAGCACACGGGATATTTTTAGATATTTACTTATTTTTCTTTTTTTAATTTTATCTTATATAAGAGATAAACAAAACTTGGACGGATTCCATGTGTGGTACCAGAACTCGGTTTCGTTGAAGAGTGTTCGTCTTTTGAATAAAATATTACAAAAATGAGACAGAAAAGTAATAAAAATGATGGGCTACGACCGGGTTTATCTTAACAAATTATGATTATTAATAATAATGGTAATTTATGTGGTGATATGGTGTCCGAATTGCAGTTGTCTATCGACGCTGGGAAATCACATCCGCGGAGTGCACACTAAAATTTTACACACTGAGATTATTAATATTGCTAAAAAGATCGAACAGATAATGTAAACGTCACAAAGTGATTAATTAATAGATTATATGATCAAGAAGTGTGACATAATTTCTATGCATTTTGTTTATTAATTTAACATAAAAATTGATGAATCGTACCATATGTGGGTTAATTTTGTATTAAAATTCTTCTTGTTAAAATTTATGTTTAAAATGGAATTCTTTATTAGCGAAAAAAATTAAAAAAATAGTGATTATTGATGGTTTTAAGTTTCGATTCCAAGAGCTTCTAAAAAATGATACACAACGTTGATGTTGTTATTTAAAATCGTAAATTTTAATATAATAGAAGAATCTAAAGAATATAATCACCCAAAACCAGAACAAAAATTATTAAATCGACAAAAAATTAGTAAAACTCTTAAAAGATAAACTATTAATGATATTTTGTTAAAACCGTCTATACTTTTACATGTAGAATTAAAAATAATTAAGTAGAAACAATAACTACTAGCGATATGGTATTAATTAAATCAAGTGTTCGTCCAAAACTACCAAATAGCATTTTCGAACTGCACGATTTTGTGTGTATATATGAAATAAAAAATAATAAACAAGATAATTTTTTTATTAGTGAATGACAAAGCTAATGACATAGTTGGATTTTCAACGATATCAAATTTAGAGGTATTTTGCAAAGTACAAAGTATTTATATTGACAGTAAATTTAAATCATGTCAAAAATCATCGTGGAGGTATTAACAAGAAAAAAAAACTAAATAATAATAGTCAAACATCAAAAATCACGACGGCACAATATACTACAGTATAATGGTACAAAAAGAAGGATATATAATAAAATCAAAGACGCCACACGTTACAAGGTGCAACTATAATACCTCAGACGGCTGGGTGTTTGATTGGTTGCGCCCACGCGACTGCCCTTAGGCACGTGCGACGAACACTAGAAACGGTGGTTGACTTTTTCGACAGCAAAATGTAAGTTGCTCGCGAATAAAGCCAGCAATCTTCGTGTACAGCAGACTGATACTGGTTCTCAGCATTTGAATGTCGACTACAAGGAGTACGCAATGTGGTCGCATAGCAAAAACCACATTGAAAGTTGCAGGTGTACTGTCAAACATTTCGGCGACGTAGTAGCTTTTCCGGTCCGACCATATTCATAAAGGTGGTGAGGCCGTAGAAGTTTCTTGAAAGATTGATATATTTACGCTACTGGTCGGACCGGTCGTCGTAAGACAAATTTATCGCTTGAGGAATTAGTAAGACGTTTGCGCGAACAACCAGATTCGATACGTCAAAATCGTTTTGTTTAAATTTTTACCTGTTTAAAATATATAATACACTATTACAATTTTAATATAAAATAATATATATTATACTAGTATATTTTTTTTTACATAAGTGATTAACAAATAATTGAGTAATTATAATATATATAATAAAAATTATATTTAATACTTTTTTTTTATAATAATAAAATTACAATAATGTTTTTTATCAAAAATATAATTGTTTACCTCCAAAACATTTAATTGAATAGATTCACAATTTTCCATACACAATAGTTTATCCTTTTTTATACTAGTAAATGCCTCTAAATACTCAATATGTGGTATATATTCAATATTTCTCTTTAAACATGCAAGGTCTTCATAAATTGCAAACAATTAATCTATCATAAATGAATTTAAAGAATTTATATAGGAATTTAATTTCCTTTTTTAACACATCAAAATTGAACGTAGAAAATAAAAATTATAATTAAATATGTACTAATTGTATCTATTTGTAGGCAACAATGATTTAAAATAATTAATTATGAATTCAATAAAAGCAGTATAATACTGTCGTATACATCGATTGAAACAAAGGCATAGACGTACACACAAAAAATAAAATAAAAGTAAGAAAAACTAAGAAAAACGCTGGCTCACTACCATGACCGTATTACACGGTCACCATAAGATTCCACTTTATTACACATTTCTCTTCTTTTATATCATCAAACTTAACTTAAGAAAATTATTACATACTAATTTACATTTGTTTAATTTTCGCGATATTGTTTTTATGTTATTTTTTTTATATTAACTCTGTTCTAGTAATTATTATACCTCTCGGTTTGTATAATAATGATGAACTAATATTTCTTCTAAAAGCATATACAGCATTTTGAGGTGTCTAGTTTAATAATTGTAATTTGTTATAACTATTTCATTATTATTTCATCTACTACATTATTTTATATATATATATTAGGGTAGTCTAATACATTTTTTTTTTTGAAAACTTAATCTTCTACACTTGATAATTGTTCTAAATAGTTTCAAAATTAGCTCACAAGAAAAAAATAATTTTTTTTTTTTTTGAATCATTCCAAGTCAGTTGAATAATTTAAATAATTTAATTATTAGTAAAATATTGAATAAATGGTTCATGTATAAAATCTTTTTTCTTTTATTATACTAGGCTCGCTGAATCCTGCACCATGGAACGCGCTTTTACAATTAAATTAACATGATATAATAAGATAAAATATAAAAAAAAGGAATTTGCATTGGCTATTAACAGTAATTGCCTAAAAGGCTCATTTTTAATATAATTATTCAAACGAATAAGAACAAATAAACCATGAATGGAAATTTTGTGACAAGGAGGGACCTTGAAGTTCAGTATTGATAATTAAATGATTCGATATGACGAAACAGTAATCCTTTTAAACAATGTATACAAACCATACCCCTGTGTTAACATAATAAAACAAGATCTAATCTCGTAGCAAAGGAGAAGAGTTATGAGGAGGATGTTCAATGTCTCATAAGAAACTAATAGATCTCCAAATAACCATATCATATTCGTATAGGTAGGACTAAAGTTTATAGTTTAAAACAATCAAGAAATGAAGAAGTGTTCAATGCAATTTTAAAAGACTGTGAACATTTATTACCTGAAACCGAAACTGAATCTCCAAAACGCAAGAGAAAGACTACGATAAAATTGAATGAATATATTTTAAGTGAATCATCTGGTACTTATACAAATTATGTCAACGACGATATTAATATTTCATTATTATCTACATTTTATGAAGTTATTGATATAATTATATCTGAGATGGAAACTCGCTTTGAAAAAAATGATGAACTTATTAAAGCTGTTTCTAACATATACGAATTGAATTACGATGATTTTAAAATATTTAATGATCTTAAAATTAATATTCCTTCAAAAGAAGAAATAATTTGTGTGAAAAATTATTTAAAAGAAAATAATATATCTAATAAAAACATCTTATTAGAGCTTTATCAACAACGTAAAGCATTTAAAGCTACATATGAAATGATAGCAGCAGTTGAAGTATTTGGATGTAGCTCGGCAGTTTGTGAATCGACATTTTCCTGCTTAAACAGAGTTGACGATCCTCAAAGGCAATCAATGTCACATAACCGGCTTTCCAACTTAACTTTATTGGCGTTTGAGTCCAAACGGACAGAAAACTTAAACATGGACCTATTATTAACGAACTTCAACAAGCAGAAGAATAGAAAATTGAAGCTGTATTAATTAATATTAAAATGTTCAAAATTTAACCCTGTAACATCAGTGAATATGATGAATATTATAATTATCTATGTAAACTTTAATATAAACTCTAATATAAGTTTTATTTTTATTATTTAGTATTATTCGTTTTGTAACTTTAAAACAAAATATGTTTCATTGTTAATTTATTTTGTAATTCATTGTGTTAATTTAATTAGATGTCAATGTAAATAAATTAAAAATTGCATTAATATTTAATACATTTATATATAATGCCCCCCCAAAAATTTGCTTTGCCCCTCCTGAAAATTTGGTCTGGCTACGGGCCTGGACTAAACTAAAAAATAGTAGTTTAAATGGCAAATCTAAATTAAAATCCCTAGCAAGTCTACTGATAAATTCATTTATATTAAGATAATTTTCAATTAATTATTTAATATATAGTAGAAGCCACTTATTGAGAATAAGGATAATTGATAAAATAGCGTTATTGTAACAAAATGTCTAGAAACGGATCGGCCCTTACAAACATGTATATTAAAAACCCCAAAACCACTCAACAGATCAACCTTGTGTTTCGTATCGAAGTATAAGAACCAACTGAAAGATATTTGAAGTATCAGTGGTTTCATCAAACAATTATGGAAATAAATTCTGACTGTTGAAATTCATTTACTATTATATTTTGACATACTGATAAAATAGAATCCATCAAATCATTTTGAATTGTTTTAAAAGTTCCTCTAAAAATGTAGATTTTTCTTAATAATCACGCAAACTAGAGTCTAAATTAGTACAAAGGTATAGAATTTCATGAAAAACGCCCTGACTTTTTGAAGATATTTTTTCATCACGACCTAATAGTGGTAATTCGTGTTTACCACAAAATTAAAGACAATTTAGAATTTTATCTAGAACATAGTGATTTTTTGTCTACTAATTCGTTATGGCGTTGGATACTTATTTTACAACCAATATCAATTTGATGTCTTATATCGACTTTGCCTAACAAATTCAAGTTTGTCGCATTGTGAATTTGTTTGAATGAATTTTTATGTTTAACAATTTTTGCATTTAGATGTTGCAAATCAGTGACTCCTATTTTAGTCTAAGCTGTTTCACCACCAAAAAGTAAACAAGAAAAAACAAAAAAAAGCTTGTTTTATTTCACATCCACATAACCATTCATTTTTGATATATAATGCTGGATTAAAATTCTAAAAATATTCAATTTTTCCTTTTTTATATTTGGTCTTTAAATCTTTTAACTATGGTAAAGGTCTGCCAACATTTTTCAAGGTTAATTTTTTTTCGAATGATAGTGAAGAAAATTTAATATTTATTAAATTATGAACAGAATTCGACATATTTAACTATTTAAAATTAAAAACAATATATTTTATACATTATATGACAACAATATACGTCTTACTAGTCGCAGGTAGCAGTAGAAAATATAAATTAAAGTAATAATCGCGATAAATAATTGGCAACGCTGTTAATTACTAATAAATTATTAATGATATAGAATTAATATTTTACTATATGGACGACGCTGCCGGTCGTCCAAACCCAAATATAAGATCGCAGCTTAAACGTACCCGTACGCACACGATTCAGCACCTCGCTTTTGCATACGTATTCAGAATATTGCTCGGACGACGCTGCCGGTCGTCCAAACACTGCTCGTGTGTATGTGTGATTAATGTTCGCACACGACTAATGTATTATAATTTAAATATGTTACCATTTAAATTTGTTTTTTAAAAATGTAGAATTAATAATATACAAGTACAATTCATTTTCTTCATTAAATTAATTTTACTAAGGGGTGCGATCGTCCCATCGTCCAAACCACGAGCCGCCACTGGACACCTCCGTATTGTATAAGCTTACATCTTTTTTTGTTTAACATTCAACTCTTGTATTTCATACCACTTTCATCTTGTTATTTTCATTTTTTTTTTATTCTACGAATAAATACTGTAAGATCGATTCTCCAAGTATAATTTGTGTTTACTTATTCGTTCGCCACTGTGTCTGGTTCAGCACACTGACGATTATTATTATTATATATATTTTTATTTTATTGTGCGTCGTGCCGTGTCATCCTGGTCCACGACAATTTCAAGCATAAATTAGTGAAACACATATACTTATGTTAACATTAGGTTAATTTTATGATAAATATTGATTAATAATAATAATTGTATTTATTATTAAAAATGTTATGGTTTAAACTAACAATAAGCATAGGCGTAACTAGGGGGGACTTAGGGGACTAAGCTATGAATTTTAGTTCCCCCTGTCATAATTCTTAGTTTTGCTAACGGTAGCTACATTTTTAATTTTAATTTAAAATATCATTTTATTTTTTTTATTGATATCTTGGAAAAATATTTATTTTTTTTTTGTTATACGTATCATTGTAATACAATGATTGTATGTAAGGTTTTACTACATAAATATTACTTAGAAATTATTAATAAATTAAACATGAAAATAATCGTAAAAGACGTATTATTATTAATAACTTGTGATAACGATTAACGAAATATTAATGAAACGGACTTAAAATCAGAAATTTTGGTAGCAAAAATTGTTATGACAATCAATACCGCTATCGCGATGCAAATTAATTCGGTATTATTAAGATACATTTTTAAAACAATGATAATTTATAATTTGTAGCAGGTGGTAAATGCTAATAAATTGATACGCATTAACACTGCGTAAACTTAACAACACCTTTATGACCTGGCCAACGAATATTTCTCG